ATTTCTATAGGCTAACACTACCTATATAGCTTAGATTAGTGCCCTTACCCCTAGTTATAGTATGCTCTGCAACACCTACTCTATAGAAGAGCCTACTAACACCTATATGTTTGCAAAATTAATTTTAAATTAATTACTAATTAATTCTAGACTACTTCTTCTTTAGGGATTCTAACTTCTAGAAGTATAAGAACTATAATCTCTAGATTAAGCTAGTTAATAATAAGGATGTAGAGAAGGATAAGGAAGAAGAAGAGGAAGAGGATAAGTAAAATTAATTTTAAATTAGTTAAGGAATAATTTAGCAGAAATTAATTTTAAATTAATTAAGGATTTATTTAGCCTTAATTAGTTCTAAATTAATTAAGGATTAATTTAACCTTTAGTAATATTATAATCTAGCCTTAAGCTCTCTTTTAGATAAATATAAGTAGTTTCTAATATTTCTATCTACTATCTACTAAAATTATACCTTATTTATATATTAGTTTTTAAGAAAATACCTTAAATATATTATTAGTTACTTTTAAATTAATTAAAGTTAGAAGTATATACTTTTAAGCCTTTTTCTTTAATAGTTCTTATAGAGTATAGAAACACCTAGTTCTTATAGGACTCTATAAGCTTCCTTATAGTCTATCTACTCTTTTTTTTACCTCTTTGTCTTATTTATAGTAGTAAAAAGAGGTATTAGTATAAGAGGTTGTAAAGATAGTAGTTATTTAGCTTCTATATAGATTTAACCTAAAATTAATTTAGAATTAGTTCTAGATTAATTTTATATATTCTATAAAGAACTTAGGGCTTATATCTCTATAATTAAGATATTAGTAGGAGATAGTAGTAGAATCTCTGTCTAAGCAGTCTATAAGGTTGCTTACTATAATGCTAAAGCTATAGCACCTATAGTAGAATTAATTTAAGAATAGTTTATACTAGATTCTAGGATTATATAGTACACCCTTATAATATTCTAGAAATAGGCAATTATAGTATATAGCCTATAGAGTAATACTTTCCTATTAGGCACTTAAGCTATCTTATACTATAGGTAGTAGATATAGAGGTAATAGGTAAGTGCACTCCTAGAGCTAAACTTTATCTAGATAAATTTAAAATTAGTTTAAAATTAATTTAAGTAATAGAGTAATATATATAGCATAGTAGGCTACTCTCTTAATATATTACTCTATAGAAGAGCTTACTAGTATATAGTATATACTCTCCTTACTTGTTAGTAGGATATAGAGGTATAGAACTCTCTAGTATAGAAGTAAGATTAGTATACTCCTAGTATGCAGGCTATATTAATTTAGAAATAATTCTTAATTAATTTAAATAACTTACTATACTTAAAAGGGTCTTGCTTGCTATTTTAATAGATAAGTTAGTTAAGAGAAGGGGTATAAAGCAGAAGTAGGCTTTTAGTCTCTATACTTAGCACTTAAAAAGTTTTTAATACTAGACCTAATTAGGCTAAGTATTAATATTTATATTAAAATTAGTTTTAAATTAATTTTAATTAGATTTAGTAAGACGCTCCCTTGCTACCCTAATGCTTACTTATTTCTCTTAAAATCTTATCTTAGCCTCTTCTTAAGCTAGCTTAAACTTATGCTTCTCTTATAGAAGAAGAGCTTTCTTCTTATATACTTTAAACTATTCTCTCTCTTGCTTAAGAATCTAGACCTCTAACAAATTCTTAGTTAAATTAATTCTAGATTAATTTTAATATAATTCTTAGCTTAATAGAGGAGATAAGTATATAGAAGAGCTTACTAGAGGTAAGGACTAATATAGCTGCTATTATAATACTCTTACCCCTTTTCTTCTTCTTTTTAGTGTTTATTTTACTTTACTAGAGCTATAGTTTATAAGACTATTATCTAGTATATTATCTTTATTATTAATAATAATTAGATGCTGTTAGCTATTCTAACATTCTAACTAATTTAGAATTAATTTTAAGGTAGTTTTATATAACTTACTCTATTATTAGCTAATACTCTTATAAAACTAAGCTATTAAGCTAAGGTTCTGTTAAGATTTGTGCCTAATACTAAGGTCCTTCTAATTTCTATACTCTTAAAGGTCCTAGAGGTCTATTTATATTCCCCTTTATAAAGTTAGTTTAAAATTAATTTTAAATAAGTCTCCTTATATCTTAATACTATAGAGTAAGTGCTAGTAAATACTAGTCTAGTACCCCTTAGAAGCAGCCTGTTTAACTATATTATAATAGGATTTAAGAGTATTCTATTAAGATACACCTATATTACTATAGGTTTAGTTAAGACTAAATATAACTACTAGGTTCTTTTTATTCTTAACCTAGTCCTTTACTACCTAAGAGGATAATATATCTAGGATTAATTTAGAATCTAATTAATAATAGTTTAGATTAAATTAACTTAAAATTAGTCTTAAATTAGTTTAAGAATAAAACATACCTTCTATTAACTTATAGAGCTCTATATACTCTATAAGTAATATAGTAGTAAGTAAAGAATATATACGTCCCTAATCTAAATCTTATATATATAAGGAAGAAGGTATAGTCTTATTAACTCTATAAGAAAAGTAGATCTAGTAGAACCTTAGGCAATAGCTAAGTTAGTATTGCTATAGCCTATGCTATAGAGTATCTAGTCTAAAGAGATATTAGCTAAAACCTGTTAAAATTAGTTTAGAATTAATTTAAGATTAGTTTTTATACTAGCTATCTATTTTGTGTCTATATTAACTATTATACTAATAGCACCTTTACTATATAGATATATCTATTTAAATAGAGTACCTATAAGCTCTTTATAGACTTTAAAGAACTCTATAAAAGCCTTCTTATATATTATAGATGTTTAAGTATTAGTTACAATATAACTAAATATTAGAACTTAAAATTAGCTTAGAATTAATTTAAAATTAATTAATGCTTACTTTTTCTATGTGCTGCATAAAAGGAGGCAAAGAGTACCTCTGCCTAACTATCCTAGAACCTCTTAAAGGACATGTCTACTTAAAATATATCTTAACTTTTAAGAAGTATAGCTTGCTCTTTAAATATATAGATAATAATATCTCCTATATATGCTAGTAGAACGCGCTAAATAAATAACTTTTAGGTAAAAATTAGTCTTTAATTAATTTCTAATTAATTTAATAAGAAATATACTAACTCTAGCTACTAGTAGTTAGTTCTCTAATTAAATATTACCCCTTTAAGGCCTCTACTATAAGGGAATAATAGAAGCTTCTCTCTATAGACTAGTCTTATAATTCTATCTTTATTAGTAAGAGTACTATAAAGCTGCTTAATACTTTAATATCCCTTCCTTTAAAGATAGGCAAGTAGAGCTAGAGATTTTAAGAATTTAGCTAGGATTATTTTAGAATTATTTTAAAATTAATTTCTAATTAAAAAAATATACTTTAAGTAATACCTAGATATAGAATTAGTTAGAGAACCTAGATAAGCTTCTCCTTAAGGCTAATATCTATAAGCTAAGAAGGAGGAGAAGTATATAAGTAAACCCCTATAGATATAAGTACTATAAAGGGGGTATAGATAGTATTTATAGGTATAAGTAGGTTAAAAATAACTATATAACCCTGTTTAACAAGCGTTCTATAACCTTATATATAATTAGTACCTAAATTATTTTAAAATTAATTTAAACTTAATTTAAACTAATTAAGAGCACTTACTATATACTAAAAGTTATAAACACTAGGGCTTAATAATACTATAGTACTCCTGCTAAGAATCTGCAGTTCCTATATATAATAATAGAAGATATAGAATATCTATCTTTAGAGGTATATACTAAATAAAGTGTTTCTCTATTATACCTAGTCTCTAGCCCTAGCAGCTAGCGTACTAAGGAGGATTTCTAGTAAGTAGCTAAAATTAATTTAGAATTATTTCTAAAATAGCTTTAATGACCTACCTAATTTCTCCCTAGCTTAATTATTAAACTATAGTTTAAGTTACTAGGACTATAAGCTCCTTTATATTAGTATATAAGACTTATATAGTAGGCTTTTACTTTCTTTCTCTTATTATTTGTCTTAATTTAAGATAGTAAGCCTCTAATCTTACTAATTTATAATAGTAGGGTTTTATCTACTTTAGTATAAAAAAGGCTTTATAATTAATTCTAGATAAATTTATAGTGTTTAATTCTAGAACACTAAAGAACCTAGCAATTTGCTAAGGTGTTTAAGTAAGGGGAGAAGGTTAGTTTCTTCCCTACTTTACTTACCTTTAAATATTAAAACTTAGTTTAAAATTAGCTTAAAATTAATTTAAAAATAATTTACGTACCCCCTTTAGGTATTTTAAAAGACCTGCTTTATCTATTTCCTAAAGCTATTTATTACTTAACAAGATAATATATGCGTACCTAGTAGGTAATGTTTTTAAGTACTATAGAAGTATAGCTATATACTCTAGACTCTCTACTTAGACACTAGACCTATAGTTATTTCTAATAGTAAATAAGTATAGCTCTGCCTAAATTAATTTAAACCTAATTTTAAACTAATCCTAGATTAAACATATATTACCTCTAGATATAGTGCCTTCTTCTCCCTCCTTCTCCTCCTCCTAATTATAGTTCTTATTCTTACTAATATCTAGGTTAAAGATATTAAGATTAAATAGGTCTACATTAGTGTTAATAATAGGGAAGGACACGTTTATAGAGTTTAGTTTTAAACTAATTTTAAATAGATTTAGTGCATTTAATTAAAAAGAGGTTAAGAATTAATTTTAATAACGTAATATTAATTTTGCTTATTCTTACTAGTCTCTAACACAGAACGCTATAAAGTAAAGATAGCATGCCTAAGTAGGGTTGCTGTACTACCTTACGAAGTTTGGTTAGCCTATGCTACCTCTTGGCACGGCCATGGTCAGGTGGCATGCCGCCTGAACGTACAGATATAACGGTAGTAAGAAGATTAAAGATATTGTTATTGGAGATGCCACACATACTATTTTAAGATGGTTTCATCTCGCCTTTCTCTATAATAAGAATTGTGAAATAAATTAATGCAGATTGTACTTTGGCGTTATATAGATAATATAGAAGCTAGCAAATACTGTATCTGCTCTAAGGAAGCCGAACCTGCCCAGACAATTATAGTCTGGACTGCCATAACAAGCCGCGACTGATATACAGAGCTGGACTGCCCTGCAACATATAGCAGTACCGTTGTAATAATGGCAGTTAAGCCCGGCAGCTGGAACTGCGTTAGTGACATGGGGCTACATCAAAGGGAACGACGACATACCTGGTCCTGCAGCTCAAGCGAGGCCTCTGCGTAGAGCTCCGTGGAGGGACTTGCCGCGAGTTCACTGAAGCGGCGGAACAGTGCGTTGTCCGGGTTGATGGAGCGACGTTCTTTGACTAGCAAGCTTTCTGTCGCGCGCAAAACAGAGCTCTGCAATCCAAGCAGTTCATGCTTGGACCACGACTCGGACGCGCCGAGTAGCGCATCCAGTAAAGTTGGCAGGCGGCGCAGTCGCCCCAGGCGCTGCGCGTTTGAACATACCGAGCCGTCCTCGAACTGTGTGGTGTGCAGGACAGACACGACCTGTTCGAGGCTATCGAAGCCGACTTCTCGCGCTAACCGGATCATGCACTCCAGACGCTCATCCACAGATGAAGTCGAACTCGACCCAGGCTGGGCGGTCGAACTGAAACTTGCAGTATCCGATTCATGCCACGAGAAGATTTGGTCAGGCTGACTTCGAGTAGTCTCGGGTCCACATGGGTTTCCACCTTGGCCATTCTGGCGTGATCCTTCCGCTAAGACCTGGGTAGCAGGGTCATCACTGTCCATTGTCCAGATTCCAAGCGCTGTGGTTGAGCTTTGATCTGAGGAGAAGCTGGGACGGGGTTACTCTAGTTTGTTGAGGATGTCGTCGGTCTGCCTTCGCTTCCTAGGTGACACTGCATCACTGCTTAGCCCAAGCGCGTACTAAAAGTCGACCTATAGCATATACCGTGTCCATGTGCATCAAAAACAACTTCAGAGATGTGTGAGATCAGATCTAGTTGACCCTCCACTGATAAGTGGGCGTCAGCGCTAGATATATTTTTGTTGGAGAGATTTGAGAAATTTGACGACAGCTTGCCCAAAGATGGTTGTGCCGTGAAAGGTGTTGAATCTTTATTAGAGTCAAGTCCCTGGATACTGCCATCAGTGATATAGTCTTGCAGCATGTGCAAGGTCTGGTGCTTAGGCTGCTGAAGTTGAGTAAGCCGTGAGCTTGTTGGTTGCGCTGCAGGGTGTTGGATAACTTCATCTACTCTCTTGTCGGACGAAACCAAAGCGACATGCTGGTGCGAATAAGCCACAAGACCAGCTTGAGCACGTATTACTTCTGCTTGAGCGGCGTTTTGTTGCTCCAATCCGATTCTTATCCGCTTTTCTCTCTCTGCTTCTTCGATCCGACGCTTGACATTTTGCCCTGTAATGGTTGTTAGGCATGCAGAAACATTGATTTGGAAATTTTATTGATGATATACGCACTGTAGTTTCTTTGAGCAAGCCTGTTCTGCAACCTTTTCTTCTCCACTCGGTCCCGAATTTTTGGCCAGTCTTTCTCCGTGGCTGCGATGTCAGCTGGCATTGCAGCTTGGCCTTTCTCTAGTAATCAAGATGAGTAGTGGTTGTGTCAGCTACTAAACTGTGTCATTCGTTGTTTCCAGACAGGTAATTCGCTTGACGGGCTGAGAAGGGAGAGTCATTCATTCTTCAATACAGACCAGATCCCTGGCCGCACAGACGTCGCACTACTAACATCAATCAGAGGATGATGAAACGTCAGGCTTATCCAGTGTGCCGTTATAGCAGGCGCTCGGCAAGTCAGAAGCTCTAGGAGCGCACTGCGGTATATCCCATAAGTTTCGTTATTACGGCAGGGGTGCTTCGGAAGAGCGCTCGATGGCCCTACTAACTGGATTACACCGAACCTCTCCTGATACAGGTTGCCTGTGAAGCTACTACTTGATAAGTCACACTTAGATGACGTCAGGGTCGGCCAGCTCTTCTTGCTGATGCCCAAGTAGACAACCTTGAGGCCTCAGAGTTTATGTGTATCAGATAACAAACTATAGCCGATAATACAGCCGAGTATACCTGTTCCGGAGCTATGCTCACGAAGCTCATACGACATACCACAATAGTTGAGGTGTTCTAGGTTGGCTAAACTCTTAATGGATAAGGTAAGCTATTAGTCGGAGGAATACGCCTATTGTGGTATTAGGCATAGATAATATGATTGGATCTCGCAATAGCGGCAAGGAAAGCCTATTTATTTTTAATATTACAGCTGTGCACAAAGTAGTTGGTGGATAAATCTTTAATTTCAATAAAATTTGTTGGCTTATCACACGTTCGACAAATTTGTTAGGATTGTTAGCGACCCTGTCTGCATTCTCCACCTACATTACTCACCCCTTGTCCATAATTGCAACATGCTTTTTCTGATTCATCAATACTTGTCTGTTAGTGGCAGTCTCGATGTCGAATATGAGACAATTTCGATCGAACGCAGGATCCGTCTTACAGCCCACTTTCTTGCGTGGGGGAAAGTGTAAACCTCTCGGTAGATACGAAGCTTATAATATCATCTCCGTGGAGTGATATCATGGATTCGCGACGTCATTTCAACGGCCGACTATACTTTGCTTTTTCCTTCTGGCGCTAGAGAGGAGTTTACAACTTTGTCGTTTGCCTAGCTCCAACACGGTCTTTACATTGGAATACCTAGCTCATGACTAAGAGTTGCAAAAAGCAGACATAGGACAAGTGCGTGAGATTAGTGATCGCAGTACCCGCAGCTTCCACGACATTGGTAGTCATGTATGATGCACGGGAAATCCGGCACCTCCAACAGCTTTCACATTATGAACAGACATCGAAACTTAACGGTGTCAGTTTTATGCTGTGGCGCTAGGTCGGCTTATGGGTCATAGACTAAAATGGCAGGATCTGGTTGCGGTAGACTTACTACCTATTCAAGCATCGGAGATCGATATAATATCCCCGGGGTGGTTGGGGCGAGCCCTCCAGTCTCAGCTTATCAGTACTGCATTGACCTACTGTGAGCACAAAACGGGTTGGTCACGATTGTGTAGCTAAGCAGTCGTCCGACACTAATCAAAGGAAAGGACACTCTTGCACTGCGGTTCTGTTAATATAAAGCGGATGATAAGGGTGTGTACTGATCCCGGCCAACTGAAACATTTACTAGGTATGACTGGCAGATATACGCCTTGAGAATCAGGTTGCTTCCAATCACGTTGCTACAATCTGTACAGCGTCATTCGTAGTACTACCCTGTCAACCCCACCATACTCACAGCACTTATGGGTTGTATCACAGTAGTAAGCTAAGATTGCTCTCAGCCGTACTCGTATTCGCAATATATACACTGATTGCACCGTAGCAGTCAACCCGAGTGAGACCAGGAACGGCATATGACAAGCACGGGGTACCGATTTGGGTTAGTAATTTCACATCTGCCGTTGTCAGAATACAAGGTACGTTAGTCAAGTTGACTGGAACTACCGAAACCTTACCCTATGCTCAAAGGATTTGACTAATTTTGTTAATATCAAGGCGCTCAGGACACTGCTCTCTATATAAAAAAGGGCGATCCGGGAGGGAGCCACAGCACTCGCTAGATCCGAAACCTCCAGGAGAATGACAACAAGTATGTTACGTGACCTCGAAGCGGGTAAGGAGCATCGTTTGCTCACACCGCTGACCAGACAATGGGACGGGGCAAAGCTGCGTGATGTCGCAGAACGTGTGGAGGGGCTCTTGCAGGAATGGAAAAGCCAGCCGATCTCGCCATTCTCTCCAAACGTCGATGCAGTGGTTCTGGACACGATGGAAACATTACGACAAGCCGGAGTCTTCTGGTTCAATAATGGAATTCTAGCACCGGACGAGGAACCCGGCAATTGGCCCTTCCACCTCAAGGAGTTTGAACGGCAGGCGGTCCGTGCGAAGGCGGAGCGCATTGGTTCGAGTATGGACCAAACGAGAGGATATGTCTGCAGCGTAAGCGAGGCACACGCGTTCTGCATCCGCGCAGCGCGACAGGATATACTGCGGGCCGCACCGCATGCGCCAGTGACGCTCATCACCGGTGCTTCGGCCCATCCAGGGGTGGACAATGCAGCTGAACTGCTCGGGATTCCGCTGCGTCATGTGCAGTGCGGGCGGCTTGGGGCAATGATCATCAGCGAGCTGGAGGCGGCACTCGACACCATACGCGGTGCTGTCATTGTGGTGGCGACATGGCGCAACACGCTGGGGGGCGGCTTCGACGACGTGCAGGCCATCTCACAGCGACTATCTGCGCGGACGCAGCGGAACGGGCTGCCTTCTCTCATCCACCTGGATGCAGTGCGTTGCTTCGACGACGTGAGCACACTAGGCGAAGCCCAGCGCACGAGCCTGGGGCTGCCGCGGTTGGTACTTGGGGGGCCACCAGGACAGGAGCAAAGCGCGTACGTGGGCGTCGCAACACTGGCGGCCGGTGGAGTCAGTATTGGGGGCATGGGCAATGAACAGACGGTCGCACTCGTGCCGCGCGAACTCGGCGGCAGCGGCGGCACGTTCATCGAGTGCGTCGCCGGTAGGGACGACACTATCGCGGGGTCACGTGACGTGGTGGGAGGGGCATTACTGGCGCTGCACGACGCGCGATTCGATGCAGCCGGTCTGCAACTGGTATATTCGCAGTGCCGGCTGCTTCGCGATGCCCTGGTCGCAGCGCTGGGCGCAGCCGGAGTGCCGGTGCTCGCAGATGCGCGCGGGCTTGACCTGGTCGTCGAGGCGGGGCCGTGGGCGACGTCAGCACTGTTCGACCGGTGGGGCGCACGGCGCCTGCCAGACGGGGCTGCGATGCTTGCTGTACAGCCAGCCTGGACGCAGGCAAGCGTGACGCAGCTGCTGGCCGACTTCAACATTGTAGAACCCCTCGTCGTGCCCGGGCTAGAAGAGCCCCGACTCACGGCAGTGCCAGCGGGCATGGTGGCGCGGCTCATGCAGGTGACTGGATCGTGGCGCACTGCATCCGCCCGCTCATGCGGCTATCCGGGCGATCATTCCACCCTCTCGGTGCTGGGGCCTATCGTAGGCCATGCGGTCACGGCGCCCTTTGTAGCCAGTGCCGCTACCTGGACGGCTTCACGCGAGCAGGAACTGCTGGCTGAGACGTGCGCCGCGTTGGGCGTCGAGGCTGGGTGGGCGGCGGCTGCTTTCACCAGCGGTAGCACGGCCAGTAACCGCATCGGCATCCTCACTGCCCTGCGCCAGCTGCCCCACGCGACCGTGTACGCCTCTGCCGCCGCACACTATAGTATTACCAAAATCGCCGCTGACCACGAACGTCTGCGCAGCGTCGCCATCGTCAACGTCCCCACCGATGCATTGGGCCGCATGGTACCGGCCCAATTCGCTCGCTGCGTGGCCCAGGGCCAGCGTACTGCAGCGGCTGAGGGAAGAGCCTTCGCCGTCTTGCTGCTCGTAAGCGCAGGTACCACCTTCTCGGGTGCTACTGATGACATCCCCGCCCTCTGCGCTGCCGCCGCTCGTGTCCGCTGCTGCGTCGACTACATCCATCTCGACGGCGCCCTGAACCTCGGTGCAAGCATGGATCGCATCACCCTGGGCCCGCCAGGCGCGCCACCCATCGATCCATTCAGTGGTCGGCATGTCGTGCAGGGCATATCAGTCAGCCAGCACAAGTTCCCCGGCCTCTCTGTTGCGGGCCAAGTCGTCTGCTGGAGCCCCCAAGGCGGGCGCCTGGCTGCCCATGACGGCCAAGTCGATCGCCGCGCCATCTTCGAGATGTGGCTATACCGTCAGCTGACGTCGCCAGCCGATCGCCGCGCCCTATATCTCCACTGTCTGGCCAACGCCCGTCGTCTGCGCTTGCGCTTGCAGCATGCTGGCATACAAACCCTCTTTAATCCTGACTCAGTCATCACTCTCGTTGAGCGACAACCACCTTGGTTGATTGATCGTTTTAACCTTGCTCCGGAAGGCAATTGGGTGCACTTCATAGCCATGCCGCACGTCGCTTCGTTTGTCGTAGACGAATTCGTTGATGCTGTAGCTGACCACGCCTCTGCCGTTCGCCGCGCACTCGTGCCCGTCCATCGACATGTTGCACGACTATTTGCTCGTCCCTTCTCTGACGTGTTTCTCAAACCGCTCAGCAGTCTGAATGACAAGCTTCTTGCTTCCATCGCCACTGCTCTCTACAGTAGTCGCATCAGTTCATCAGCCAGGCAGGTTGAAGAACTCAGGCTCGAATGGATAAACAGCACACTCTGCTTCGCCGCTACCGATTCCTCAAATTCGTTGCTCGCAGCACTCCTGTGCCGCATATCATGTGATAGAGCTATCGAATCGTGCGCAGCCCTGATTCGAGATTCGGATTCGGTGCCAGAAGACATGCAATCAACAGCCAATATTCTGGTGGGTTCATTGTTCGCACTTGGTGTCGTCCACAGGCAAAGTGTTCCCAAGATATCCGTCACCCGCATCCGTCTCAGTGAGACCACAACAGCTGGTGTGAATGCTGGGGCTGGCGCTGCTACTGCTTTTGCAGTGAACCCAAAGTTCAAGTATGTGTCGAGGAATCGAAAGTCCGCTAGGACTGTTATTAGCCCTCAACAGGCAGATTAGAAACAATTAAGGCAATTCATCACTTCCATGGCAACAAACGCAGCTCATTTGTGCAGGTATGACAGAATTTGCGAATGCAATGACCAGTGTCTCGTCCCGATAGGAGGAAATTCATGAGCCGAGTAACAGACTTGTCAGTGATTGTGACTGCTTCTGCACTCCAAAGCTGCTATCGCACCAACTCTGCTCACCGCGTGTGAAGTTCAAGTGACGCGCATTAAGAAGTACCCTTCGCTGACTCGGTGTGATATTTGGGTGAACTTACTAAGCAACAAGGGCATGGCGTACTCTAAAGCGCTGCTTGTGCAGTAAACAGTACGCCTAGTTGCATCAAGCAATCGCGACCAGATTTGAGGACCTTGCATGCACCCTATAGTATGAATGTGATCGCTGTACGTTGTATGCTCTGGTCCACAAGCCAGGATTGCCAGACCAACTCGCAATCCATGTTGGACCGCACCGTCCCTATTGGTTCCTACCTAGGTATTTCTATGTCCTTGCGTTACACAATTGGTAATACAATTTAGGTTTACGGCAGCGCTTGGCCTAGTATGACAAGCCTTCCATTACTAACAAACGGCAGAGGCAACTTACTCGCCCTGTTAGCCAAGAGAGGCTTGATCCTCTATCTTCTCTCTTGGCTCTAGTGTCTTACATAGAAAGCTATCCACCGCGATTTAAGCAAATAAGAGTCTTGACATAGACAGCCACCAACCTAAGCGAATCCAACCGAACAGCGGCGTCGTCAGCGCTAAAGCCGTATCTACCGAAGCTTGCTTAAACCGCAAGCTGAACAAGGAAGGTGACATCTAGATCCGAGGTCAACTTTGCAATACGATTTCTGATTTAAAACAATGGTGCACTCCGTGCAGGTCTTTGTTTGATTTCGAGATTTTAGCTGATTGTTGCTTCTTAGCGCTCTGTCGCAGTGTCTGTACTCAGACGACAAGCACGTCATGTCGTCCATGGTAGTGGCTTTCTGCCTCGCATTTCTTCAACCTGCTTCCGCCGCACCAGCAACCTTACCACCTAGCACTGGTACACGTCAACTTCAAAAGCGCCTTGAAACCGGCTCCACGATTGCGATCGGCATCTGCGTTCCCAGTGTGGCTCTTGTGCTCGGCCTCGGCATCGGCATCATGTGGTTCTACCCCGAGCAGAGGCGCAAACTGCGTGCGGAGAACGCCAGGCGCGAACTGGAACTCGCAAACCGGGCGAATAGACAGCATGGACACATACAAGGGGTTGAACACGAGACATTACCTGCCTATAAGGAACATGACGAGGAGGACCATGAGCTGGAAAATGTGACGCGTGGATCTACTCCAGCTGCACCGCCTGCACCGCCTGCACCTGCGGTGGCTGCGCCTGCTTAGCTTGGCCGCAGATACGAAGCGCAGCCGTCGACAGACACAAGGCGTGCTGCGCTTCCAGTGTAAGATGGAAAAGACACTGGATACTTTCTGGTGCAGTAGGACAAGCACTGTAAGAGTGTGTCGCGTACATACGGTTTCAAGGTGCTGGAAGAGTATTCTAGGCTACCCCACCAGGCGGCGCACTTTTCAGGGCAGAACGCCTGCGCAGCGTTGTATACCAACACAACGCCAATAAACAATTGCTTGCAGACCTAGATGATTTCATTTAGGTGACGTCGCTGGTATCTACTTCCTCTATCCTTACCTTGCAGGTGCGGAAGCTGTGTCCAATCTCACCGCAATGCCCGCAGCGTCGTCCTCACTGTAGAGATCGTTGAAGCAAAATGACCGGAACCAGTGATCTTCCATTCAGGATGATGAATCATGCAGGTGTTTGTAACAAGAAGGCTGCACTGTCACAGCGGTGTTGATTCTTTAGTCAAGGACAGCTATAGGCAAGATTGTGAGCTATGTACCCAATGACGATCCTAGGCATCGCTTACGGGTGACTGTTACGGTCAGGGGGCCAAAACCAAAATCTAGAAACTAAAACACCCTAGCATAAAAACTAAAACACAAAAGCACAACAAAATTATTATAAACTACTAGGCTAAACTACAAATAGAATATAGATAGGTGCTTTATATTAAAAAATAAATATTAAAGCTTTTTAAAATATTTAGTTACGTTATTAACCTATAATCTTACTTTAGAACAAAGTTCTAGAAATCTAGCGTATATACTAAGACTATTATAACAACTATTATAATAACTATTATAATAACTACTACACTATCTATAATGCCTTTCTATAGAGCTAGAGGTTAAAAGAGTATTAACTTAGCAAGCTACTAAGATAAGATTATTAGTTTAATAGAAGGTAGTATAACTAATATTAATATCTATTAGTAGCTTCTTAAAGAGTATAGAATAAAGTATAGTATTTAGATACTAAAGAGGAAGTATATAGCATAGGGAGTATAAAGACTTTATATTAACACTATAACTAAGGTAGTTAAGCATAAGATCTTTTAGTTATTCTTTAAAGAAAGAGTAGAAGATAAAGAGATTTTATGCTATCTTTAATATAATAGTATATTAATAAGTATAAAGATACTTACTTAAGTATACTAGTTAATAAGAATAAAAAGAAGGATAAGAGATATATTAGAATATTAAGAGGCTTTAAAAGTAGCTTATTATTAAGGTTGTACTTTAAGCAAAGCTTATAAGCACTATTTAATTAGTTCTTAGGGATAAATACTATTAGGGAAACTAAAGAGGTCTTGCACTAAGGAGTATAGACACACTCTATCTATCTTAAGGGCAAGGGGTAATAATAAGTAGTATAGAATAGACTATCTAGCTTAAAAGTTAGGTTAAGATCTAATATTATAGATTAATACTTAGGTTAAACACAAACTATAAGGGTTATATTCCTACTTGCTATATACTATAGGGAGTGTAGTAGCTTACTAGGCTCGACGTAAGCTACGTAAGCTAGGCTTACTAAGCTTAATATAAGCTACGTAAGTTCCACATAAGACCTACTTTAGCTTAACTACTAAGAAGTAAGCTTATTATATAACTTATAATAAAACTATGCTATATAGAATAGCCTATATAATATTATACTAAGCGTGTTAGTATTTACTAGGTATTAGCATCTAGTTAGTTATAAAAAGAAGATTATAACACTTATATAGTAGTTTAGGAATAGCTACTTAAGAGTATTATTAATAGGTATAGCAAGTAGTTACTTTATTAATACTTTAAATAGTATAGAATATTCTTTAGTAGAGATTTACTATATAATAAATATAGCAAGCTTAACCCTAAAGCTATAGCCTAAAGATGCAATAATTATTAATACTACTAAGGAGAATATATTATACTAAGGCTAAACTAGTGCTAGTTAATTAATAGATATAATAAGCTAAAGAAGATAGGTATTAAGATATATACCTATATAGATGCCTATTTACACTACCTTATCTAGGTATATATAGGAATCTTATCTAGTACTACCCTAAGTATTCTTTATTAATACCTATATACTATAGGAGAGTAAGGGTATAGTCTATGCTTTATTTAATTAGACTATAGAGTTAAGACTAGTTAGATATTATACACTTATCTAATACTCTTAAAAGCTAACTAACTAGAGACAATATAGGTTAATTATTATATAATATACCCTACAGGCAAGCCGCCTACCTAGGCAAGTTACCTACTTTTACTAAGACTATACTAAAACCTAACCTATTATAGCCTAAAATACTACACTTTAGCTCTCTATAGTAGATTACAGCACGTAATATTATTTAGAGACCTCTTCTATATTAATCTTACACATTTACGCGTTGTGCCCTATCTAATTGCACCTTCTATAGCACCTTTAGGCTAGCTTACCCTCTTAAGCGCGCACCTACTTCTTTACCCTCTTTCTATCACTACGCGCCCTAAACTCCTTTAGAGCTGCTAGTTGCTACCTATCTTTAACTACTAGGGTCCCTTCCTTCTAAAACTACTTTCTTTTGTATAATTTTTATCGCGTTATAGCCTTATTAGCCGCTTAAAGCTCCCTAATTTCCTATTAAGCTAAAACTAGCTTGTGCGCAATAATTGCAGCCCCCTTTAACACCTTCTTAAATGCCTTAACTATAGATATAGAAGAGCTATCTACATGCCTCTAAATCCTTAACTTTATAAGTGTTAATTATAACCTAAATTCTAGGGTATTGCTAGGGGTTTATAACTGCTAGGGCACGTTGTTAGCAGGGACTAGTAGTAATAAAGTCTAAAGCTTTATATTAAGGGCTAATATAACCTATTCTAGGTTAAAAGGGGCTAATCTAGTACCTTAGAACCCTCCTTAGATATTGCTAGGAGTAAATACTACGTTGTAGGCTGCTTTAAAGTATAGTAGGAACTTAGCCTTTATAATATAGGTAATCTAGTTATATATAAGCAATTTAGCTTAGCGCCTATACGCTATCTTTAAAGAGGCAAAACAGCCTATATTAAGTAGCTATAGAAGGTGCAATAAGTGCAGAGGTATATATAGAGTAATAATCTTATTATCCTTATAGTATTTCTAGAATTAAAGCAATGCGTAGCTCTTATAGCTGTTAATAACTAGCAGTTAGTAAGTACTAGCAGTACACTCCTTTATATGCGCGTTAAAGTGCTTTAACTACTTAAAACCAAGCTTATTAGTAGTCTAGCTGTTACTAGAGACTGCAATAACCTAATCCTAAGGCAGGTCTTCCTCCTTATACTAGCTAGAGAGGTAGTAGCGCGCTTTAAAGATAATAAAGGGTAGAATAGCCTATCCTTTTATATTAATGCCCTATATAACTATTATCTACTCCTAGTTACCTAGCTAGACTGCCTTTAGCCTTCCTTGTCTCTCTAAAACTATAACAACTACTCCCTAAGAGATCTAGCCTATTATAAAGCCTATCTTATTAAAGTTATATATGTTGTTATCTAGGATACTATACTTAGCTTTTGTGTCTTATACTAAGGAAAACCAGCCCTACACAACCCTAGAATCCTTGCAGAGGGCTTACTTATAGTTATACCTACAATTAAACTTTACTTTAAGCTCTAGTTAACGCTTTACAAACGTACTAGGCTAGTTTGTGCTAATAGGGCCTAGATTGCGCTTAGCGCGCAGAGAATTAGCTATAGCAGCTATATCTACCAGCTAGAGGCTAAATCCTCGCACATCTAGCTTAAGTATGTAATTAACAATTACCTACTCCTTATTGTTGTCTAACCCTTATAAGTTAGGCATAGTATTATTGCATAAAGGTTGTCTAGCACGTCTATTACGTAGGGTTGTTCGTAGCGCGTTATAGATAGCTATAGCACGTTATACTAAGAGTTTAGGGTCCTATTAAAGAGCTTAAAGCGCAAGCTGTATCTAAGTCTTATTTAATGTGTTATTTTAGCTCTGTTATTAAGGCATTGGTAATAGAAGGGTAAGTTAGTGTGGTCTTAGCAAAAGTAGGCGACTTACCTAGGTAGGCGGCTTGCCTGTAGGGTACGTTATATAGTATAAGTATATTAAATTAAAGGATTAAAGGTTAGTAGTTATAGCTAGAGAAGAGTTTAATATTTATATAGCAGGTAAGTAAGAAAGATAATATATAGGACTATTATACTAACTATTATAGATATACTTCTATTAACTCTAGACCCTAAATCTATACTTTAAGAACAAGCTTATAGATATAGTTATAGCTAGAGCTCTATATATCTCTATCTTATACTATAAGATATACTTATATACTAAGACATATAATATATATAGGATCTAGAAGTAAAATAATTAGCTAAATATAGTAGTTAGGAAACTAAGTATACTATATAGGTGCCTACCTAATAGCACTAAGAACTATATATAGCTACTAAACTCTATAGAGTTTAATAGACTTTATATAGAGACTCTAGCATAGGATATATATATAATAATTTCTATACCTATATAGTAGTAGTGCAACTAGTAGTTTTAAAGTATAGGCTTTAATCCCTATATAAGTGTTATAAGAAGTATAGAAGAATATATATTACTCTATATAGATATATATCTAGAGCTCTATTCTTATACTATATATTATATTAACTATAGTATATAGCCTTTGCTTGCACTACTAGCACACCTAACTAGTAGTTAGATATTTAAGGTAATACTATAAGAGAAGTATTTTAACTTAGTAGATAACTAAGATAGTAAGAGTAATATTAGAGATTATAAGAGTAGAATATAGCAAGTAAATTATCTAGCAGTATATAGAGCAGCTAGTAGTAGTATATAATAGTTAGCCTAGAATATATAATAGTTAGTAATAGTTCTTAAAAAAGTATAGTTTAGTATTAAGAATATATAACTTTAAAAAAGCTTATACCTACTAGTAGTTAATTATAATATACTTTCTAGCAATTTAGTTATT